GGGGGGGGGGCAGAAGGCACGCTCATATTAGAGATGCACGATATATCGGTTACCATAATGATATCAGCTGATATCACATTCAAAGTTAGCAGCACCAGAGCGAAAGACATAACTACCAAAATAACGGTGATGCCTACACAGGACGATGAAGCATTTTCCCTAGCGAAGGACGAGGGATTTTTCCGGCTCATTCGCCACTAAGCATCAGGGCTGCCAGTTTCAATCTGAAGAAAGTACCGGTTTTATACACCCTCAACATGTTTTTAAATCATTATTAAATGTGACCTGCTGATCAGTCTTTTCTTTTCCAAAGATGATGTGGCACTATTCTGCTTCACTGGCAGTGACATCCTCCCTCGCCGAGAATCCTACAGGTGAGCCGGCGGTGGCAGAACTTCCACGTCGAGGGACCACTAACTCACATGGGAAGTGGGGAAAACACGCAGCCTCCATGCAGTCTGCTGATGGAGGTCTTTCGTGGTCTGATAATGCTTCCGGTGGCTAATCGAAAGCATAGCCAAGGGAAAGGTTATAGACCCTTTGGTCATTGACAGTGTTGAAATGAATTGCCGGAAGCCATTCCATTGTAGGATACCATGAGAGTTTTGCACGTAGGTGAAAGTCAATGACGAAGCTAAACCAGGAAGTATTCTCACCTTCAGCAAATGTTACTGTATAGTAAGATGGTGAGCAGCTCTAGTTAAACAAAGCACAGAAATTTAAAGGCAAGTTAAGGTAGGCCAACTTGACTAAGAGAGACAATGAAATGTTTGGCATTAAAGGTACACAGCAGACACTGGAATGCTGACAGTCACTGGGGCTTTAACTGCACAACAGTGAATAGGATGATGCCCAGGAGCTATGAGAGGCGACTGGAGAAAGTGTTGTTACAGCCAGCCAAATACTCCTAATTACCTGCGTAATGTGTACAGTATTTAGGGGTGGACACAACACTATCATATTAGAAAATTACTCATCATTGTTTCAGATTTACATTACAGGAGTGATTTTGCTGTTTTTTGTTGCGTAATAACAGTACTGGAGCCTGAAGCATTAATGTAAGATAATAGGTATCTTTGACCTAGAACCCCCCCCGCCCCCCCACCATGAATGCATGATCATATAAGTCACTAAGAAGTAAGGGTTGGAAGGCTGCTACTTCTTTTTCTGGGGGGGAGGGGGTCCCTTGAATATTTTTTCAGTCAGATGATAATGCTGTTTCGAAATGTCTCTGTGGGTCCCAGGTTAAGGAGCCCCCCCACTATAAATAGGCATCCTGGTGAGTAGTTGTGTGTAAAACCAGGAGGCCAGCCACTCAAATATACATTTCTAAAAAAACTGCCGTTAAAATTGTAGCGCTGAGCAGATATCTTAGAGTTAAGGGTTTTCAGTGTCACAGACAAGGTACATTTTTGCTGCCTGTAGCTATATCCAAGCAAGACTCTGCAGATCCTGAGCGATACTAGGGAAGTAGCTTATTCTTTATAAAAGGCCACATATTATTCATTAAAGACTAGAAGGAAGCCATAATGTAATTAAAAGAACACAGCTGGTTTGCCTGTAAATATATAATTATGTTTCCACATAATGCTAATATGTTTTTACGCAGCTTTACCAAAGGCTAGACCCTGCTTACTGTTTTTATGTCTTGTTATGTTAAACCTTTGCAATAATATTTTTACAAATTTCGATGTTTCAGTTTTTCACATTTTTTTTTCCACCTTTCAGCAACCAGTCTTTTATTTGTAGATATTTTTCCAGCCACGCACATACTTCACCGGTTACACGCAGGAAAACACTGGCAGCTTGACAGCAGATCTGGGCGTGCGAACGGCTCTAATTGGAAACACATAAGATGATCTGCGGCGGGGACACAGAGTCAGGTGGGAGAGTCACCGCACCAGCCCGTGCCGCTAATTTCATCTCTGTGGCGCGGGTTTCAGTGAAATCAGACGGCTGGGGTCCGTTCCCAAACGCTGTCAGCGGTTTCTCTTCTACTGCCCTAAATCGATAGCGTGTCCCTCAAGCGCCGGACACCGCGGTTAAACCCCGCTAGCCGTCGGGTGTGGTGGGGATACCAGACCATTTTTGGTGCAGCGGCCCGGCTGACATGTGGACCTGGCAACTCGGGAAAGAATTGTATGATCAGAAGTCGTTAGAGAGGAGCCTTTCTGTCACATTGAGGATGGACCAAGAGAAACAATGGTGAGGTCACTTTGTTTGTTATCTTTATTGTAACAGCTGTCTGCGTAAGGAGGACAAGTATCAAAAAAGAAAAAATACGAATCAGTCTATAAATAAATTCTTGATAATGGAATGCAATCGCAGCTGTATTTATACTGCAGGAACCTACCGCTTCCCAGTTATTGGTTCCTTAAGCACTGCACCACCTGCTGGGTCCAAATACACATAGCACAGCCCAATCTGCCCCAGGATGAAACGAGAAACTCACTTCAAAGTACATTAATAGTGGAGTTGTGAAGCAGGCTTGTGTGCGGGCTGATATTATCAGGCCGGTGAGCTGTAAGGGTCCCTCACCCTGCCCCTGGTGGGGAAACGGCAACGGCGCACAACTGCATCTTCAGCGTACGGCGATCCGAGCACCAACAGCGGCAGGAGCAGAGGTTGCCCCACGATCCTCCACCCGGCGCGGCTTAGTGACGCATCGGGACGTCTTCCACCTGCCGCTTCCTGTGGCTGAAAACCTTCAGGGGGAAACGCCCCCCCCCCCCCAGCACCCCCATTAATGATGACGTGCCCCCGCCATCTATTGGCGGAATCCTCCAAGGTCAGCCATGTGACGTGCGGTGACATCGTGGCTGAGCAGGGGAGGGGGGCGACCACGCAGCTTAATTAGATGAAGACGCAGGTGGACGTCCTCTGGAAGTGGGCGCCCTTCCTCGTGGTGGCAGCTGCCCGGGTGGAAAACAGACAGAGCGCCTTTGAAAGGTGACGTGGAACCTGGGGGGGTGGCGGGGGGGGGCAGGAGCTAGAATAATAGTAGACTGGGCAGCTGTTGGTACTTTCGCGGCGCTGTGATGAGTTTCAGTAAAGCCCCCCAGTCTCACTTTTTTTTTTAAAGCCCCTGGATCAACAGCACAGCGCTTCTTGTGTTCGGGGCTGAGCCCCCAACCACATTTGGCACAGCAGGTGACCCCCCCCCCACGCAGGCAGCAAGACTCGACATGCGCCTCAGACAGGAGCCCAGACACTGTACAGTGGGAAATACCTTCAAACACTGCATTTGTGCATGTGTCCCACAAAAATCCATTAGAGGTCGGATGGGCGGGGAGATGGATTTGTGTATTTATTTGTTTGTTGGTTTGCAGTGGCGCTGTAAGCAGCATAATTATTGTAATTGAGCTTATTGTTAATATTTTGGAATTGATCAATATTATTGTTGTTCAGATTCATCTGGCAGATTACTGCTCATCTTATTCGAATTATTGCAGACAGCGGATCAAAGCCCCTCTCAGTCGGTGACAATAGCATTGCCCAGCCTCAAAACGATAAATCAAATGTAAAGAGTGTGAAGACCCAAAGAGTGTCGCTTTTCTCACGATGTTTTCCAACTACATGCTTGTTTGCTTGACTGCTGTATGAACAGAAATAGGTGGTGACCTTCCTCAATCACCCAGGCAGGATATGAAGGTGCAGTGATGAATCTGCCTGTTTACAGCCTCTTGTTAGATAAAAAGGATGAAGAAGGGGCTCCTCTCCTGATCCAGTCAGGACACAAAAATGTGCCTTAAAGGGACATATTAAAGTGAATGTTTTCTTTACCTTTTTCGTGCACTGATGCATCAAGAGGAATGAAGGTGTTCATCACCTCCCCCGGCAACAAAGTGGGACTTACATTTCTGGACATTCATCAAAAGCAGTTTGGAGTCAAAAAGACCTAATTATGAAAGGTCTATTTTTTTATCATGAGGTAAATTCCGCGTGCGTTTATTATCCTGTTCCCCGACAATGCCAGTCATTCAGATGCAAGGTGAAGATAAGGTGGCTGGACGTGGAGTTAAAAACTAATTTTAATAAATTCCTAATCAGCTTGTGTGGGGGGGGGGGGGGGGGACAGAAACAACAAAGTTAATGGAAATGTGTGAAGTCAGCAAAGCGCTCAGCAGTGCTGCCCTTTAATAAGATCGGAGAGGCATTACAACAACACGACACTCAATGTCACGTCGAGCCACTCCTCATGTCTGTAACTCAGCTGCGGAAGACGAGGGGAGGAAAAGAGAAGGGGAATTAGGAGAGTGGGGAGGAAAACATGGTCATCTGTTTAAAAAGAACTGAAATCTGATCTCTGGGGAGAGGGAGCTGGAGGTGCCGTATATGACACACCATCCCGCTCTGATCGTTCACGCTTTCTAATTACAGTAGGTGAGCAGCACATCATTTTATCGTATTTGTTTTGCATCGCTGCAAAAATAGAAAATGAGGGCCGCGAAGCTGTACCAATTTACTTCATTTCGACCTTGATTAAAAGAAAATTAATTGCCACATCTCTCATTATGTTGTGCGCAGCATTTGATGACTGGAATGGAAGCGGGAGGGGGGCTAGAAAACAAGACGCGGCGGCTCGCGGGGGGCACCGGCTCGACCTGCCCGCTCGCGGAGACGAGGAGAGGCTCTAATGATGAAAATAACAGGCCTTTCAGCAGAACCCTCACACGGTGAAGTCAGAGCGGCTCCATCTTCATTTCAAACGCTGCCGCGGCTGCCGCCTCTCTCCTTCCCTCCCTCCCCGCCTGCCGCCGGATTGCGTTACTGCGGCCGCTTCCTGTGCGGCCCGCGGACCCACGGCGGTGTCTGGATTGAGTGTCGGCGAAGGGGTCGCGACATTTTTTTTTGCTGGCAGAGGGAGAGAGAGAGAGAGAGAGAGAGAGAGAGAGAGAGAGTGAAATGGAACATTAGAATAAAACAAAAAAAAAAAATGCCCGATTTACAAAGGGAGCAGCTGCTCCTGGGGTCGGGGGAGTCTTTCAGCACGGCACCGCCGCTAATCGCTAACGTGTCTAAAGCTATGGAGGGGGAACATTTAGCCAGTTAAACGCTAAACGCTCACGCTGTTAGTTAATGAGACCCATGGCTGAACTGATGGTATAATAAGGCATTACCGCATCCGCGCGCGGACAGGCACTGCTGACGGGCCCTGGACCCAGCCAGCGAGCGCGAGCGCCATCCAGCCGCAGCTGAGGTCAGGGCCATTACCTGGGCCGATATCCTTTTCCAGTCTTTTCTTTTGGCTTCAGTATTATGGCAGAGAAATTATCCACCCTGTCGTCATTAGCAGTCAGGATCACTGTACATTCTTTAATATTATTATTTGCCAAATGAAGGATGAGGGACTGAGAAACATCTGTGGATGTAAGCTGACTTCCTGTTGGGGGGGGGGGGGGGGGCAGAAAGGTGAAGGCATCGCTCATCGGCAGACTCGGGACCTTACCAAGCTCACAGCTCCCTCTAGAGCCTGTGCAGCCTCGAGCTTCTAAGGCCTGACCACCTCAGACCCCTACGCAGGGCAGGTCAGGAAAAAAGTTAGCATTAGCGTGCAAGTAAACCGGCCTAACTGGTGACCAGTAAGAAGGCTGCGCTAAGCTCCATGAGGCTTTTACATCTTTTCCCTCCAGCATCCATTTTAGATCATTAATAAATCTTCATAATCTATAAGACCTACTGTCAGTAGTCTGTGTAGTAATAATAATAATAATAATAATAATAATAATAATAATAATAATAATAATAATAATAACTTCTCCTTTTTAAACCAAAACCTTTCAAAAAAGCGTATTAGTGAAAAACAAACTTACCCCAATCTGCCCCCCACCCCCAGGGGCACTGAGCTGCCCGTCGTGGCTGCAGTTAAAGCACCATATGTCCCGCAGAATGCAGTCCTGTCGCAGGGTGTAGGGTTACACGGGAATTTCTGTTACATGGCTTCTGCAGGAGGACTGAGCCGCTGATTTGGAGACAAAATGTCCTTTCATGTGGATTTGCACCTGTCCCACTCTGACAGAGCAGCGGCTGGTCGCGGGCCGGGCCCCAGGGCCCCCACCATGCACCGCGTCCCAAAATATTTATAAGCTTTTGACATAGAGAGGGGGGGGGGGGCAACACAGGAATAATTGCTGCTTTGAGCAGCCCCCATGTCTTCTGAAATAGTTTTATTTGTCTTTTTTCCCTTTTGATGAGCGGCTGGCGACCGGCAGAATATCAGGCTCTGCGATCCAGGAAAACAACAACCTGCCCTGTTTATCTCCCGCTGTCTCCAGCCACGTCGGTGCTGATGAAGAGCCACCACGGCTCCTAAAACCGCCATTCATTTCTGTGTGTGTGTGTGTGTATGAGTGTGTGTATGAGTGTGTGTATGTATGAGTGTGTATGAGTGTGTGTATGTATGAGTGTGTATGTGTGTGTGTATGAGTGTGTATGAGTGTGTATGAGTGTGTGTATGAGTGTGTATGAGTGTGTATGAGTGTGTATGTGTGTGTGTATGAGTGTGTATGAGTGTGTATGAGTGCAGGTTTCGCTTTCGGCCTGCTTTCCTTTGACATGTCACGGGAAAACGAATCTCGTTGCGGTTGCAGGGCGAACATGAGACTGCAGTGCCAGCACCCCCCCCCCCCCCTCCCCGTCCTGCGCCGGCACAGTGACCGCGATCGAGGCTTTAACAAGGACAGAACCCCCCCAGGCTGCCACAGCTCCCCCAGCAGGTCTCACCCCCCCATGGAAGGTTTCCCACTCGCACAATGTAAGCGGAGACTGAGGCCAAGCCGCCATGCAAATGCTCCGCGCTCATTTAGTCCTGCTGCCGACTGTGACCGTGACCGTGGCCGGGGGGGGGCTCCCATGGCTGGGGGGGGGGGCTCCCACTTTGCCTGCAATTCAGGCCTGTGCTCATTTTCCTACTTATGGACATTTTTCCAGACCCTGTGTTTCCATATCTGATATCATGAAGGTGCATTCTGTTAGCTTTTATTTTGATTACCTTTAAAACCTAAGCTGATAAACAGACCATCCATCCATCCATCCATCCATCCATCCCTCCATCCATCCATCTTCCAACACTGACCCCTGGGCAGGAGTGCCAGGGTCCTGCCTGTGCTCCTCTTACTCAGCCAGGTCATTAACCCTTCCACTGCCTGCTGCCTGCAGCTACACCGAGAAGGCGCGGGTCGTGGCCGTATCCACGGCACATGTTTCAAATCCCGGGAAGGCAAGGCAGCGGAGACAAGTGTGGGGGTGGAGTTTAGACGGGGAAGCAGAGGGGCATCCAGCGCCTCACGTCCAAGAGGCTTCGCACATGTCAAGCTAATGGAGGGATCCATTTCCACCATTATCGCTCATTCTTGTAATGGTACGATGATGAATTGGTGAGAGACCCAGGCTCCACTTTGCTGTGCCGAACAATATTAACATTCTAACGGACAGCTAACTCAATAAAGGCGTAATTTTGCTGCGGACCGCAGTGTGGATCGCAGCCTAATGCGGGGCACTATGTGCAAACAAACGCCCGGCAGTGCTATTAATGGGGCGAGCTAACAAACAAACGCAGGAAAACAACCATCAACGATTCCCTCGACAGACTGCCCAAAGTATCGGGTGAAGCAGAAACTAAATTCGGGCTCTTTTTTTTTTTCCTCGGCATCCTCCGTCCGAGTACACGTCACGGCAGAGCGGAAAGTAAACGAGCTTTACTGCTCCGCTGCGCAAAGCTCTTTGAACAGCAGCGTGGGGGTCCAGGGGAGTGTGAAATGTCACCCGTCAGCCGCACAGGCCCTAAAGCGGTGGGGTGGGGGGCCTCGCTGTCAGAGAAAGCCTCAACATGAGACTCCAGCTCCTTCAGGTGAACCGGCCGACGGCCCGAGGGCAGGTGGGATCCGGCCAGAGACGCAGGCTGCGTTTAAGGCCTGAGGGCCGGCGCTGCCTTGGGAGCCACCAGTCAAAATATCCAAAATGGCCCTGGAACGACAGAAGGTTCTTGGCTTCACCCAAGGGGGGCCCCACGTGGGCCGTGTGATCCTGTCATAACTAAAACTGCTACAGCTGTCACTTCGGGTGGCTCTTCTGTAACATCGCGTCACGCTCCCAAAGCGGCATTTTTGTGTCCGGCCCAAACCGCCCAGGGCGTCACACACACTGAGTGGCTGCAAGAGTACAGGCTGTATATTTTTTTCGTCCAACCCCCCCCGGCCCCCCTCCTCACCCTGCCCTTTGGACAAGCTATCCAAAATTTCAGTCGTTGAAAGTGTTCAGTTTTAGGACAGAGGGGGTCACACCTGTTGTGGAACTTGATAGAAGGCTTATTTATAAACTTTCAGGGCTCCGGATTCTTCCTCTGGTGAAAATGCTGACATCCAGTGGGGGGGGCGGGGGTAGCGGGGGGAAGTGGTCAGCTGAAATACTTGTTTATGAAAAGTGCGGCAACTGCAAAATCCATAAAACTCTCAAATTATGAAATTAGAAAGCCGTCAGATCGGGTTACACCGCGGGGACGGGGGAGGGCTCAGCTAGTTTGGGGAGCCTGTGAGCGGTCGGTGTGGAAATGCACCAGAAAATGTTCACTGGCCTATTTTAAAGAGTGAGCAAAGCCACGGAGTCCTGGCGCGCGGAAGGTCGCCGTGACGATTCGGCTAAGTGACTCCCACATGTTCGTACCGGGGAAGTCACCGGACTGGGCTCCCGGTCACCGTGCGGTCAGGTTACGGTCGACGCTCTACGTGGGTCAGAATCACCATGTCTGAAATGAAAGCTGGACACATACGTTGTCACGGCATTGTCACGGCATTGTCACGCACCCGCATGCCGTGTTTTTATCGCCCGCCATCGTGGTGCACAATCCCCCCCCCCCCCCCCTTCTGGGTGCTGTCACAGGGGCCTTCATGCAGTTTGAGAAATATTTACCAGCTGCTTCTACCCAATTATGGCCAAATGTCAGCCTTTGCACCCAAAGAAAGTCAAACGGCAAGGGGGCCTCAGGAAGGGGCTCTTAATATAATGCCTAAATTTAGGTTCTGAATTATAGCCTATGGGGTATTTGGGTGGGATCATTTGACGTATGAAAGGTTCTGAGAATGCTGAGTGGATTTGCAGTATAAGGGGGAATATTACGGCTGACGGGTGAGGGGGGGGACGGTCCCAGCTGGTGACAGATAGTCTGGCAGGTGGCCCGCGCCTCGCAGGAGTCACATTTGCCCCCCTCCTTTAGAAATGTGCTACTTGCTGACTTTTCCCCACTTGCTGATGTTCGGTTTTTCCTCCTAGTCTTCGCTACCTTGTGTAAATATAGATGAAGATATTGATGTCGATAAGGCCGCCAGCATGCTGGAGGAGTAAACACCTCGGCTGAATGTGAATTCCTCCTTGGGGGGGAGCCTGAGCTGCGTCCCCACGGTCCCTTTGCTGATGCCCCCCCCCCCCCCGCCCCCACCCAGCTGCTGCAGTACCTCAGATATACGCCGCCGATACGAGGAAGCTTGTATCTCTACTTTCTGTCCCTGTGTGTCTTATTCCATCACGCCTGATTGACTTCAGCGATTCCATGTTTAATTGGCTCGCGCTGGTGCCATCCTCGGAAAGGGCCTGTGTTTGTTTCTTCACGGTCATCAGATCTAAGGCTATCACTTTAGATAAACACCTCATCACCGGATCCGGCAAGGCGGCTGGGATCCTAGCGTCACGCTTAACGTGGTTTCACAGATAGACCGGGGTCAGAATTTTCCTCTGATTGTCTGTGCTTTTGCTCCTTAATTGCACAGATGAGAAGAAAGTTGTAAAAATGAGCAAATTAAGGCACCTCAATAACACGCCGCTGAGCTATATATTTATTTATTTACTTTTTTTTGTCTCCCTCCAGCCCCCCAGCCCCGATCATCCGTGCAGCTCCAAATCTCAGCGACGGACGACCTTTTAAACATTTAGTGTGGCTCCAACCCGTTCGGTGGCAGTCAGGAGGGTTCGAGTGTGAGATCGTGCACAAGTAAGCAGATACTCCGGACTTTATTATGGTCATCTGGGTATGAAATTAGTCATCCCTGCCAATAGCAGACCGAACCTAACAGGCAGGCCATGTGACGGGACGCGGCGGCCGCGCGAATCGATGGCACAAAACAGATCGCATCACCGCCGTTTCTCCTCTGACAGGCCGCGGCTTTAAAAAATGGCGACGTCTTTTAAGGTGACCTCTCGAGTGCTTCTTGTAAAATTGCATGAGACAGAAATCCATTTGCAACTCCGCTATAACACCGAGATTACATTGTTACTTTAGAGCCCTGCTGCAAATTAATTTGGGGTTCATTTCATACATTATATGAATGGATAGTAGTGGGGAAATTAAATTCCAGTATTACACATTTCTATATATTGTTTTATTTCTGGAGGGGCTGTTTTGGCGGCTCGTACCCGAGCCGCTGGGCTGGGCTGGGCCTCCAGCTGCCGTAAGCCAGCTTACATTCGTTCATCCGAAGGAGAAGCAGTGGTTGCTTTAGGATTCAAAGCAATCATTCCTGTGGACACAATGTTTCTGCACAGTGAGGAAAAGCAATTCCAGCGGCAGAGACGAGGTGGACGGCTCACACGGCGCCATTCCACGGATATCATTAAGCGAAAGCCGGATATAAAGTGGAACGCGCTCTGAAAACAGCACATTCACCCCAAGGGCTGCCTCTCCTTGGACAGACACGCTGTCTGTTTAAGTGCCACTTAATTGCGGCATCCCTGCTCATCCTGCCAAAGCTTTGCGACTCGTATTTGGTGACATAGTGGGTTAAATCCTCTGAATCCCCCCAATGGGCAGGAAGGAGGTGATCTGGTTGTGGATCCAAAGGGAAGAGAACTCCAGATCCCGTCAGCAGAAGTGGATCCTGCATCGGGGATGCTGCCCCCCCCCCCTCCCCGAAATCACACATCACTCCAAAACGCAGCGTCGTGTCCCCTGTCAAGCCTGACCAACAGCCACGCTGCTACAGATGCTTGTCCACATGTCGCTGCTGGATGCTTGAAAACCCAGGATGACCGTCCCGTCTGTGACAGTCATCCGGTGACTGGCTGTCCAAATAGAGAGAAAAAACAGATCCTGTTTTGACACATTTTCCCTGGAAAAGTGACACATTTCCTCAGCAGTCCATGGAGGTTTGTTCTCAACAGCTACCATGGGAAAAAAGCCTCAATAATTTTCTCATTTCATTTAATCTCTTCTATCATTCCTTATGTATTCATTCCCAACATTTTTGCATAGCTTCCTTCCTGTCACACTTGGCCTGAAATGACTGACACTAGATCCAGCAAAAACATTAAGTAAATAAGTAAGCAAATCTGAATCAGCTACAGCAAGGAATAGTGACATCTAAAGTCACAACCACTAATTCTGCTTTATATCTAAGGTGTATCTTTCTCGATTCAAAGCAGACATCATTCCGGTCTCCCTGTTTTCCCTGGTGTTACACTGGCAGGGGGTTCTAGCACTGAGGGTGATCGAGCACGGAGGAAGTTCCTAAAAGCCTCATTGTTCCTTATATCTCACTGACACTGAGAACCAAAGCTGCGATTACAAAACAGGAACCTGAAACACCCACCCATCCAAACAGTCCGTCCCGCTGTGGCACCCGGACATGTCAGGTCTGAACGAGCAGCGATCAGGCGAGTACATCCGGCAGGTTCGAGGGCGCTAGGGAAGCCTTTTTGGACATGAGCTCAAACAAGCCTTTGGGGTCCCAAGGAGACACGACATATTCACATGAGTAGCCATCAACCGCCTTGGGGGCTTGATCTGAAGCCCCACTGATGTTTTCCGTCTCCTTTGCTCGGCTCCTGCACAATCTCACCTGTCCATGGCTGCTCCTTGGGTGAGCCATTCTGGGTTAAGCTCAAGTGCATGTTCAGCCACCAATGGGGGCTTGTGGTCTGCATTTACACACAATGATCAAAACCCTTTTTTTCTCAAATAACCAGATACTGAAACAGTTACTGTAACAGCGCTAACAAACACTTCTCAAGGGTACAACAGCTTCATCCTTCCTATGATTTGAAACAGCAACCTCCTGGTCACAAGTTCCCATTGCAGGCAATCCTGGCATCTTCTGCAGATAGACAGAAAGATGGCGACTGATGCCATACACCTTGTGTGTCGAGACAAATACTGTGTCTTCTTCTGCAGCCAATCTTTGAGAGATTCTCTCGGAGAGCTCCGTAACTGGCCGGACACAGGAGACTGTCGTGCCATATGCACCTAAGCTAAGCAACAAGCACAGAGCAGCCCAGGATTTCAGGCAAACAAACGGCATTAAAGAATGGATGTTACATTATTAAAATGCTGTTTTCTGTTTACTTGTCTGTCGTACCTTACAAATTGCCCATCAGATACCTTAAGCAGAGCCAGATGTGCAGCTAGCAAAAGCTCATTATAGCTTATTTAATGCCTACTATGGCGTTCATCACAACATCATCATAACACGAAGATGGAAAACGTGATTACACCCCCCTACCTGGCCGGCAGGCTCTAGCTGTAACTGTAGGACTTTCGTCCTGACTGATCCGAGTCCGAGGTCAGAGAGGCTTCTCTATTGTACCTTTGAGGGATGTTTCCGGGCAGAACTGCCAAGTATTTAGTTGCACAAATGGTTAACTGGGTGAAGTCAGCTGTGCAAGTGGCTTTGGATTAAGACATCTGCTCAGCAAGCTGTTTAAAAAAGTTAGCGCCACGGAAGACAGCACAGTGCCACGTGGCAAAAAGGGGATTAATAGCGGATTCACTTAATAATCTCTCTCGTTATGTAATCTCTTGCTATTTCTGTCATAACGTTGCTTGCATTATGAAAATACTCTATGATCATATTTGTAAGCATGTCACCCAGACCACAGAAACAATTTAAGCCACTTAATAAGAATGTACCTATTTCTTGTCTTAATACATTATTGGGCTTATACGAGGATTGACTTGAGAGTATATGCATTCAGTGTGAGATGAGTAGTGTTTCAGATGGTTTAACAGATCTTTATTTTCTCCGCGTTGGAGAAAGTCGTTACGATCAAGAACACGAATATAGCACATACTGTATCTGGCATTGTTACCAAACTGCGAATATTGAAATACAAGCGTGTAAAGAGAAAATAACATGATATCATCATATGAGCCAGGAAACCCAAACATTTGAGGTATATAGTTTTAGATTTATAATGGAATAATATAGATTCCGTGCGCGCGAGAGTCTGACAGCGCGAGTGTCTCGCCGGATGCGTGTGAGAGACGTGAACCCCGCATGGGTGCGTCTTCCTTCGTTCTGCTAAAGCGGACACTTAACAGAGACCGAGTTTCAGCAGCTCAGCAAAAGCAAATATTGTGGGAGAAATCAGGGGCGACTGTGCAGGCGCCGCTGCAGGTGAGGGATGCGGCCGTCAGCCACTTTGTGATTAATTAAACAACAATGACGCTTAAGATCTCCTTGACCCAGTGGTCACCAGAGGTCAAACACAAACCGTTTAATATTTTCCCTTTGAAATCAATATCGTTATGCACGCGGGCTTAACGACAAGTATCGTTTTGAACAAAACCATGTCTCACATAGGATATTCTTAAATACAAAAAACTCCTTAGATGGTAAGAATTATTTAGCGAATCCTTGCACATAAACCATACACAACGCCCGGGCAATTTGCATATTTTATCTTCTAACATACATATTATTTCGTGGCTCATTTATAAAAAGATCAATTGCAAGTTCGTCTTCATCCTAGGAGAGAGTTCAAGTGCAGGTCGAAAAATCGATCTTTTTTGAGTTTCCTGTCCTTTTCTGCTCGGATCAGCACAGATGGAAAAAAGAATAGCAAGGACAATTTGTTTAATATACGAGAATAAATAATTCCCAAAGAAAGCCATTAACGCTACGACATCTACTTCCAGCCAACGCTCCTCCCTGCGCCCCCCCGTCCCGATCCCCCGCTCCATGTCACTCAGGGGACAAATCCCTGTCATGCACCGTTTTCAATATCGTCCCTGTCCTCGAAACATTCTGGGTAAATTAAGGAAAATATCTACTTCCGATCAAGATTAGGTTATTGATCTTCCAACCGGGTTAAAAAAAATAGAAAAAGAATCAAATCACACTTTTGTAAAATTATGCGAAAATTGATTTAACTGTCCAAAAGGGGTCTTGTAAGCTATCTTAATAGCCGCCAAAATTAAAAAGAAAGTATTGTTGAATGAAAGATACCAGAATATGCATAAAAATAAGATATATTTAACAGCTAAACCGCATTGAAAATCACTCACAAATAAGCGCTATATATATGACTTCTTTTTTTATTTCCTCTGCTATGATTTAATTTGTAAAATTGCAGGCACGAATTTCAATTCATAACCTGCGAAAACTGTTACACCTTTAAACACATAAACGAAATAACGGAAGCGCGAAACGCTCATTAATAATATTTTTCCTTGCATTTTGCGGTAATACTTATTTCCAAAACACAAAACCTCTCACTGATAAATATTAATTTGAACCTTCATGATGTATTTGAAAATTCCTGCTAAAATGTCACCACATGGAACATTAATGTAATATTTCAAGACCTGAGAGCAATACTCATATTGATTGCATTTATTTGACTCTGGGGAGGAGAAATAATTCTTCGATGTGGGACACATCTGGTAGCCAAAGACGCAGGAATGGAATGAGAAAACGCTAAATAACAATAAAAAATAATAGGACCTGTATTAAAATACGTCACGTCGACGCTGTTTTAATGTGACTTACTTTTTTTTTAAGGCGGAGCTCAATTAGTGTTTTACTGCGCTTATTTTGACTACGTTTCGTTTGCTGTGGTGTTTTTGCATGGATGAAGCATTAAATGGTTTGATTCACATCTATTACTGCCTTCTCCTTGCACTGGCAAATGACATTGTACTTGTAAAGCAGTGTCAGATGATGCAGGGCAAGTGCGGAACTACAGAGTCATTGAAGTTTTACCTTTTCGTCATATTGA